AGTATCCGCGCCTGTCACGTGCGAGACCCGGGTTCGATTCCCGGCCGGGGAGCAAATTCAATTTTTATGAAATAAGTTCGATCTCTACTCCTCTTGCAATCAGCACGACAGAACTAATTCTTTGGTGAAAAAAAAGTGTTTACTTCACCGGTGAAATATGAGAATACAAATCCGGAAGAATAGTAACATAATATGGGAAAGAAATGGATGAATATTTTTTAGCAAGAATAGCATAATTAAATTTCAGTTTTGTTTTTCCCTATTAATTGTAATAAATTTGCTACAGTTAGTGCAGGATGTTCATCAATGAGGATTAGGAGGAATGTGTATTCGCAATTTGTTGGTAAAACAAAATTCACTATCCTACATATACCCACTTGTTTAAGTAATACCAAAATTTTTGACATTACTTAAATAAGTGGATATATGTAAGAGTTTGACTCATTTCTTCTTTGGATGGTGAAAGTCATTAGTTTATCTCAGTATAAAGTGCTAAATGTTTAACACTTGAATGTTCAATGACAATGAAAATTCCATTAACTTCTTGATATACGTTGTACGTCATCCACATTCCACGATTGATTATAATGTGGAACAAAGTTGTGTCCAATTAAAGATAGCGAAAAGATTTGCTTTTTTTATGGGGCATAAATGAATAAGGGAATATGGGAACATCTCTGATTACTCCCACAGCAAAATTGAAAAAACCATTTTCCCAAATACTGTTAAGAATGATCCCCAATAACAACCTAAATATTCGCATGCTATATTACACAATTATTATCAGCCAGTTTATCATGTTGAAACCACTCCAACAACAAAAAAAGGAATGAATTAAGATTCGTTGTCACTAGCGTCTTCATCATCCTGATTGATCTGGAAATATCTTAATTCATATGTATCCTTCGAAGATGCTACCACTCTCAACCAGTCACGAAGTGAATTGCGTTTCAAATATTTCTTGGTAAGATACTTCAGATATCTCTTTGAAAATGGAACCTGGAAATAAATGCTGGCATAAGTTTAACATTTAAAACCAACCAATAAGATGTCCCCATGTAAACTATATATAAGTTTTACGGCAAATGATTTAATTATTTTCAAAATGATCAGATTTACAAATTGAAAGTTGACTCTTAGAAACTTACTTCTGACGTAAGGGTAAGCTTCGTTTTGGCAACTTCCAATCTCACGCCATTAGCTGCCATCGTACCAACTTTTCCGTTCACTTTGATACGTTCATTTAGAAATGTCCCCTGCAATCAAGACATCCGGTCTCACTGAGGGATTGTAACATGCAGAGGAAAGCTCCATCAAGCACTCCAATTGCACATTTTACCCTATGCCTGATGTCCTTAGCATACAGAAACGGTAACTCTGTATCGCTCTCTATTATTAAAATAGTTTGTAGAAAAAAAAGTATATATGGAAACAATACATAAAAAGATCTCCCAGAATAGATTTAAAAAAAAAAAAAATTTGTTACCGTCCCGTAGACTCATCGAAGCATTTGAAAGCTGAAATGAGATGTGCAAGACGGTTATTTTAATTTCCCTTCATCCCCCAAAAGCTACAGAATTTTTCCTCGAACTGTAACATCAGAAAAGATGAGGTAAGCCAAGCACAACAGTGTCATCTCTTCAACCATAAAAAATATCAAANAAAAAAAAAAAAAAAAAAAACTCACAAAGTCGTTAACATTCATAATACCATCTTCAACAGGATTTTTACACTCAATATGATATTTTACAGTTTGCTTCTTCTTCTTCTTTTTCGTCTTTCCGCTCTCCCATTTTTTGCTCCGTTTTGGTACAGTATGCTTCTTAACTTTTGGTGTTGCAACCATTCCTGAAATTTGAACTCCATTCTTAACTGTTAAATCAATCAATTTAATCCTAATCGAATCAACCCAAAAGATAACACAACAAACAACCCGAACGAGAACCACAACCAACCTCACTAAACAGAAATTAACCCAAAATATACATATATACCTAAAAGTACAGACCATAACCTCGTATGAAAACTTCTCTATCTCAAAGATGAAATTCAATATGTTCACTTAAACATGAATAGTTCCATATGTTTACTGGAAGATAAACTTTTGGTACCGATAGATTAATGAAATTAGATATCAAATTTACGAGGATTTAAAGAATTTTCTCAAATTTAAATATAATTATTCTCAACTGTTAGATTAAATTAGTACCAGTAAATGATGAAGAATATCCAAATGAAAAAATAATGCCAAATGCAAATCCGAAACAGACGTCTTATTAGAATGTTATGCAAGAATTAATCTAATGGTTACAACAAAGTCTCCATACAAATCTTCCCGTTTGCTTTACCTATGGATTTTAAAAATGTAATAAATTCGAAAAGTTGGGAAACTTTCTACATTAAACATATCGATTAAATCCCTTTACTCGTAATAATACTAATAATGTCAGGTCATACAAACCACAAATTAACTACGGTGTAAAACTTTTACGGCTAATGAATTGTTGATTAGCAACTTCAGGAAATATTACTTTGGTATATTAGTCATTACCAATTTACCATGAAACCGTTGTTTTTTTCTCTTTTATAGCTTGAAAGCTGATCATTTAAAGTAGTATTATTTGTTTTAATGGTAACTTTCAAATCACTCAGCTTGTGCAGTATCATGTTTTTGATGGCTTCAAAACGATTGAAATGTGAAAATGAAAAAATAGTAAACATCTATCAGTAAACATTTCTATTATGATTGCAGAAAATAAAAATATGTTAAAACACCAAGAAATTTACATTTTAAATTATGCTTTGCCTTTAAAAAAACAAAGCTTTAGGCAGTCCATTTTGATATTAATATGACAACATATTTAGCACTAAAAAAGTATAATCAACATAAAAATGCTCTAGATTAAATGATATAAATCACAAATGCAATCTAATCAGTGAATAAGATTGCAATTGTGATTTATAACTTTTGATCACTGATGTCATCATATAGTATGAATTAAATAATCGAAGCTAAAGATTCTTTCACTTTACTATATTCCTCATCCAATTCTTTTAATTTGTATTTTATACTAGCTATTTCACAAATTAGTGGAAGTGCTTTTGTAACATCATGTCGAGCAGCTTTTGCGCACAGCGGTTCTAGAATGCCAAATGGACGGAACTGACAGCCCCTACGAGCTTGATCTAGCACATCATTGGGTACCAAAGAAAATATCCCATTTGAGTTTATTTCAACTCTGCAAACAAATAAAAGTGATTATTAGAAATGAAAATTTACAGAAGGTGAAATCTAATGATGATACATTCAATTGCCAATTGCTTGTTTCATGAATTTTTGCTTAGCCGTTATCCTATAGACTTTGACTGCTTACAAGTCATTGAAAAGATTAGCTACTTCTTTTGTGTAATCCGTAAATCTCTACCGGCACAATTACGAATTGTAAGTTTTCTAAAAGATAGCCATGAAATTACGTAGAAATATTTCATTTCATTTACTTGCTAGTAAGATATCCAGTGTTTCTTAGAACATATTTATCATTCCTTCTCCAGATATAATAACTAAATATCTGTGAGAATCACAAAAAAGTAAACGAAAAAAATTTCCATATTAAAAAGGAAAATATCCATAAAATTTTGTGAAATTTCAAAATTTTTACAGATATCATTCGCTGAAACTATCAAATAATGAACTTAAAATGGTGGCTAAAGCAATGACTGTCTAAAAACAAACCGAACAATTGGTTCCAAATCGCGATTATCGATAAACGCTGCACTTGTTGCTGATAATCCTATAACTGACCTAAAAGTTATATAACTATGAAAGAAATAGAATGCATAATTAAACAGTAACCGATATTGAAAAATATTAAATAGAAGTATGAATAATTATATCCTGGCCAATGTTGAAAAAGCTTATCTATTTTATCCTCAAGCGAAATCAATATCAAGCCTAAAGCATTTGACATTATATAAGATCCACGTTAGGGCTTTATTCAGTTCACTTTTTATGCAAAAATAAAGCTGAAATTAATAGTTCCCGATCAAACATAACTTTTTTCCAATTATTAATAAATCCTTAACAAATGATCATAATTTAAAAATGTAGGCAAAAAAACTAATGTAGGCAAACTAAAACAGGGATTTTACTTTGTTTTAGATAAATTGAGACGGTAATTGTCGAGGATAATTTCCATCTCTCTATTCAGCGATAAAAACTCCGATCCCAACTGAAATTTACGAATTGCTAAATCATTCAAATTCTTTTCTATTTCGTTCATTTTGCTTCAACTGAAAAAAAAAAAACACATCCTGTATAAAAGAAGATTGTTACAATACATATTTATTCCATAATTGATTTTCAAAAACCAAAAATAACTTAAATAATGAATAAGTTGTTTACCATTACTTAAGCAAATTATAGTAGCCTGGGAACTTTATTAATAAGACTATCAGGATAATTCAATAAGCACCATAGACCCGAGTAATTTGTCAGTTAATGTGTATTTATAGTAAATGCTGAAATGATAATGCTTAACAAGGGAATGCAATAAACTGAAAAACCTATGAACGGATCCTCATGAACACAATAAACAAATTTATGTATGCAAAAACGTGCAAAACATTCGTTGCAAAACGAATCAGTGATCCCAAATATTAGCAATCAAAATGTTTATTATAATTTACAGTATTATGTAATTTTGTTTTTCTTATAGAGCTCATTCAACAACCATTTTATTTTATCTATAGAATACGGCAATTGTAAATAATAAGACTGATAGTAATTTATTCATTATTTTAAGCGTCACATATTGTGATGAGAAAAAAGCAACTGGAAAAAGAGCACAAAAAAATATGTACTTACGCAAGCAAACAGCAGATTTTAATAAAGTTTAAACTAATAACTACATCGTGAACTCATTTTCGAGAAACACATACGATGTACGATCTAACATGACGTAAAGCTGACAGTGGAATATGCAATACACCAATAATATCAGGAAAACTAGGTGATCTTTCAAGTACTGGCAATAAAAAAGTAAAAATAAAAATTGCAAAATATTGTTTGGAGCAAAAAATAATTTACCTTGGGGCAAAACAAGATTTGCCAAAGGTACAGAGGGTGACTGTGAATACAAATATTAAGTGTTAGCAAATAAGAAAAAGCTAATTCAACTTCTCAAAAACTTACAACTATGCAAATTTTCTTCTTGAAAACCATTACTAATTCATTGGAAATCGAAGTTGTATAGTCATATTTGAGAAAACGCAAATAGCGAAATTCGAAATGCGTGCAATTTGTAGAGTTCTACAGTAATTTTCAGGATAAAAAAAATATAATATTAAAAACAAAAACCATACAAATCATACATAAATATTAATGATATAGAGAAATAATCAAAATCAATGCGCGAAAATCCTTTTTTATTCATTAAAAAAAAGCAAATTATCCGTCACGAAATACGGGGCAAAATCAAAAGAATGTATGCAACGAATGTGATTGAATAAATTGAAAATTGCTAGTCCATTGAAACTGCACTATCAAGTATTACGCAAATACCCTGTGCGCATTATTTCACCGCTCTATGAACTCATATCCTTCAGCTTCCATGTGCCAAAAGAAAGTGATATTGAAAAATATTTTGCAAATAAGTTTAGTCTGCACCAATTCTGTAGAGGAATACAGTGTAATGCCAAAAGCATGAGAGATCAATTCTAGCTTATTAAGTTCAACCAATTTTACGATTTCACCAAAAATGTCCAGTATGCCATTTTTTAATGTTTGCATCATTGATTAAATAATTATTTGTTTCTACACCATGAGATAAAAGTAATTTGGAAATTTAAGACTTCAGAAGAAAGGAATCCAGAAATTATCTAAATGAGATATTCCAGAAACCAAAACCTGAGCATATACTATGGGACAGAAAAAGAAAGTAAGACAATAACAAAGTTAATGGCAACAAATATAACTTTAAAAACAATGAAATATCTAGAAACAGAAAAATTTGGAACAATTTGAAACAGTTTTTTGGTATAATTTACGAAATTCTACCCTTTAATCGAAGTTCCTTTCAAATGCTGTCTCCACTGTTGAAAATAAGTAAAGGGATATTGTGCTGCAGCTAGTAAACCATTCCGCAAGACATAATCACCATTTGGATCGTAATTCAATACATCACCATTAAAATCAAGCATTAAACTACCAATCGATCGAAGCAAAGCATCACCGGCACAAGTATCCCATTTTTTAATGGCAGTCATATGTATGTATAAATCTGAAAGTTGGAATTATAATCGTTTAAGTATGCAAAAATGAGCAAATCAAGTTATCGAGAAAGCATCGCCATTTCATATTTTCTGTAAAATTGAAAAAGTGCAAAGTAATATACTATCAACAAATAAAAATTGATTAGCAAATACAAAATTAAAAATGGAAATTCTAACTTTTTGTAATTTAAATAAAAAAATTAACCTCCAGTGCCATTTAACAATCTCAAGAATTTGTAACCAGAACCTCCAGCCGCTTCAACAGTAAAATTGGAAAGGAAAGAATTCAGTGCCAACTCTCTTACATTCCCAGCATGTGATCTAGAAAAAGAAGCATTATTAAATAAATCATGTCTGTCCAAATCTTTTACTCGTCTGAAACTTGAAAAATTAAAAGTTATTTGAGTTTTATTGTTAGTTTTCCATTCCCTTTCTTCGCTGCTTTTTTTCTTTTTTATGGAGAGAAAATTCTATTTAGAACAAAAACAGTTTTATGAAACCGGAAATATTGATGCCGGAAATATTAATTTCATCCTACAGACATGGCAATAATGAAACATGGAAATTTTTGTCATCCTGCAAGACTAACTAAATGTTCAATATTTTTTAGGTTGTATATTCCAATACTCCACTATCATTAGCCGAATACTGTCATGATCTTTTCTATTCATGAAATTTCATGTTTTACTTGAAACAAATGAAAGCAAATTTTTTTAACAAATAAAAGTATGTTCTTCAGCGGTAGAATCTCAAAATATAACATTCAAAATATAACATTTCTAAAAAAGAGTAATTACCTAGAAACCACTATTAATTTCGAATTGTTCTTCGAAAATGTACGGTTCCATTTATCGCCATTTCCTTTTAAGATTCCAAATTCATTTAAACCATAAACTGCAAAACAAAGACTTGATAAATTTGAAATGCATTTGTGAAATGAAAAACAAATCTAATGAAGGTCGAAACTATCACTGATATTCTTCTATTGTTGTGTAATCTAATAATTAAGCGATTACTGCACTGAATTTCGCTTCAACTAATTTCAACATTGCAGAAAAATAAAAAAAAAAAAACAAAACAAACCCCTTTCACCAGTGAATGGTCTGTATATCACACCAAATATAGGTGCGCCATCTAATGCTATGCAAATCATCACAGAAACATACTTGAGCAGGCCTTCTAGAAACATAAACAGTGATGTATGTTTGATCAGAGAGAAAAAATAACTCTAAAGGATTTCGAGACATATCAAAATTTTCATCGATCTTTTATTAATTGATATCAGTGTATGAAAATCAATAAACAATGCACAAATATGATCTTAAATTTCTATTCCTAAAATTTTGAATGAAAAAGAGCTAGTAGTCTTTGCACGCTTTATTTGGATAATTATGTAAGCAAAATTCAAAATGCTACCTGTAAATTCTTGTGTTGCATCCAGTGGATCAACCCAAACAGCTAATTTTGATAATAAATATTTTCGTGATGGAAATAAATCAACGATATTCTTCACATTTGTATAAAGTTCTTGCTGTTGTGACTGATATTTTTCATAATCCACTAAGCTTAACGCTTCTTTTTCTTCAGAAATAACCTGAATTCATGCCTTGCATTTCACTGCAAATGCTTCATATGCCTTTTATAAGCATAAAAATTAAATGCGATTAAGCTAAAAATTGAAAAAAAAATTTCGGAGTATGACCAAATTAATTTATTAACGAATGAACAAATTTTTTTTTCACCTCTAATAATTTAAAAGAACGAATCCAAATAAAAAAACGTTACCTGTAAACCTGGATATCTTTTTAGGACGTTGATTATAAGCTGGTTTGATAATAAATCAGCTGTCGTCAAAAGTTCCGCCACACCGACATCTGTTTCCGCTTTTTTGATAGCATTCAATCGTTGCTCATCATTAATATCCAGGATAGCACGACCACCTAGTTCTGCAGCCAAAAGCACATAACTGTAAACAAATTTCTTTTAAATAAATATATCATGCAACCAGGAACTCATCTATGATCACTTCCTCTCTTCCGAAAGAAAAGATCTACATGATTATTCATTGTTTCACTTCTTGACCACAAAGAATTTCTCAATTGGCTACAGTTTTAAAACAGTCACGCAAGATATGATCATTCTAAACGTAGTTAAAAAATAAAAAAATTGAATACTTTACAACCTTCAATCTTTTAAAAATTAATTCAAGAAATGAATCACTGCCAACCTTAACAAATCATGAAGCTCAATAACAACATCAGGAAAATGTTCCTCTTTTTCCCAAATGAGATATCCAAGATAAAGAAAGAAAATTATGACAGTAAATGCCGCAAAATTTGCAAGTTTCAATCGAATATACATCTTAACTCTTTAAATTTCAGAACCAGTTTAGCACTGTTCCAGTATTTTGAATTGCTAACAGTCAGTTACATCCTTCCTTTATTAATCAAAGAAAACAGGAAAAGTATCAATATCATGCCTGAAAAAGTATCAATATCACCAGATTTACTCTCTCAGATTGTAGAAAATATTTGAAAAACATAGCTTGCAACAAGCCGAACTGTAAAACTAGCGCTATTGTAATTATTTATAGTAAAACTAAGCTATTTTCAATTGTAATTCATTTCAAATTACAATTCCAATTTGCGTTGGGCATTTATTATCACATTTATTAATTCCAATCTTACATTTCCCCCCCAATCATTATCATTTGATATCTATTATTCCATCAGCAAATATCGTCAAAATTGAGAGGAGAAAAAAAAAGCAATTTTAATTTCTGAAAATGTAACCAATAAAAAGTAAGAGCATTTCAAAATTTCGAAACAGCTAGTTGACAAAGAAAAAAAATCAACTCAAAACCATTAAGTACATTGTTCAGTTTGAATTAGAATTGGAATTGGAACTGTAATCATATAACGGAATTACAGGCATTGCAAAACCTCATCATTAGCATTGAGGAACAAAAAGTAAAAAATTAGCAAATTTTGAAAATCATTTCACTATTTCACTAACTGTGTGCACAAAGAAATTATAATAATCGAACTAGTTCGGTACCGATGTACACTGAAACCGATAGTTAAAGTAACGTAACATTCCACGTGAAACACTTCATTTCCGTTGCATTCAGATCGGGTCATTTGGATCGTTATGTATTGTATTCGGGCAGAATGAATCGTTCAGGAATGCATTTTATTTCGGCTAATTAAGAAATTCAAAATCTTACATAAACAAAATATGCAACTCTTAGCCTGTTTGATATTTTTAATGACGTGTACGTCACTTACATTACGTGTAATTTCATAAAGATAAAGGATATAAAAGGAAGATTTATTGGTGCAATCTTCATTTCATACATTCTATTAGTTGCAGCGTAGTTTTTTTTTTTTTTTATTGGGCTGCGGCAAATTTCACGGTGATAAATGGCTTTTTATGCTGTAGTATTACCAAAATTACTGGTCTTATTTTGTTTGCTTAGCATTATTGGTATGTGTTTAGAAAAAATATGATCAAAACTTGTTGAATTAAAAAAAAAAATCAGATTTTTAACTTTATGTTAAAATTAATTAGTTTAGGAAAAAAAAATTTGTTTTTTCCATAAAAGAATCTTTGGATAGTTAATCTTTTATTTTTGAGTTAAAATCTAAGATGATTAATTAAGATAAAGCTAATGAATAGTTTCATGGTACAGTTCACGTGTACTTTTGGATATAAATCAGATAATGAGTTCCCATTATTCCTTGAAGATCATCTTAGATTATTCATTTATTGTGGTAGATTTTTTGATAGTGATAACGTTTGCTTATCGTACCCGCTATTTTGCATAGTTTCATTGATTAGGCTGCTACTTTTTTTGGCTAATCAGCGTCGGCTAGCCAGTCAAAAGCATATCCATCCCACTATGTTGTAAACAATTTGCTGCTATATAAGCTAATTATTTTTACTAATATTTTGAATAAGTTGCATTCTCTTTCCTCAAGTGTAAACCATTATCAAAGCGATATTTTCAATATTATCCCTATTTTAGACTGACATTTGTTTTAGAAGGTAGACATGCTAAAAAAATTATAAAATATTTTTTAAAAAGATCCCAGAAATACATATATACTTGTTTTTTACTTATTTCTCGGTACTTTTATATTTTTACAAATATTAGGTAACAAATTAATTAACAAACACAGTTCTCTTCATTTTCTGTTTGCTTCGTTATTTCTGATTCTCAATTCAATAAGCCGAAAACATACATTGAGAATACAATGAGTATAAAACAAAATTTTGTTTGTAAATCGAAATAAGAGATCAAAAATTATATTTTAGATAGAATTGATATCCAGTACGGCAAATTGATCGTTCAAGGAAAAAATGCAGCATCACCGCATGAACAAAAATCGATGGATCGAAAATTTTTTATTCCTATGCATGCAATTAATCAGAAAAGGAATAATATTGAAAAGAATGCAAAAGATCTCATCCAAAAGTTGTCACCAATATTGAATCTTGATACAAATCAATCTATAGTTGGAGAACATTTAGCATCTTCCGAAAGAAAGAATCCGGAAAAAGCAGCGGGAATCGATGATCAATATGATCTAACAAATACATTTAAGGCAGTATCGCTGCTAACGCACTTACGTTCACTAACTAATCGCTTTCAGCCAAATGTTCGACAGTACGATGAAAGCTATCATCAAGAAAACGGATTGATTAATACTGCAAATAAAAATACGAAATCTGAGAAGAACAATAATCTCATAAACAATCAGCATGATAACACTAGAAAATGGCATTTAAGTAAGGAAGATATTTCAAAGATTGATAATTTCACTTTGGAATTGAAAAAATTGATTGAAGAATCAGCAAGTGGTGCTCTTCGTCGAAATCCACGAGATAGCTTTCTATACGATCCTTTAACTTTGACTTCCACACAAAGTGAAACTGATATGAATAGCACTAATAAAAATGGAAAAGAGCTGGAAATAAATGAAACGATGAGTGTAGGGAAGTCTTCAGAACTTGCTACCACATCAAATTTTCCAAGAACATCAGAATCAAAAACTGAAAGTGAACAAGAAAGATATTCGGAAACGATGAGTGTGGGAAAGTCTTCAGAATTCGCTACCGCATCAGATTTCGCAAGAACATCAGAGTCAAAAACTGAAAGTGAACAGGAGAGATATCCGAAAACTCCTGAAAATACATTAAATACCTTGATAGATGATGTCACAGAAAATATGTCTGAAGAACAGTTAACCGGAAATTTTACAAATGAAAGAATAACAACGTCAAAAATTGAGGACATACAAGCAAAAAAAATGCCGAAAGAAAAATTTAATGAATCAGACAGTGACTTTTCTCCTAGCAAAGAAAATAAAGATAATGAGAATTCGACTTCAAAGAAACAAGAACATCAAATAAAAACCGATGATGATGATAGCAATATATTTGATGAATCTGATCAGGATGGTGTCCGAGAAGTATCAATCCTATCAAATTATAATAAAGAAAAAATTATCTATGCATCAAAATCTCTCGAAGATCAACCAGATGTGCCTGAGTCTGACCCTCAAAATAATGCTCCAAACATGGATTTTAAGAAAGTGAAATGTATGACTTTTAAATTTAGCAATTTGTTTTGCAGAGTTTTATTTGCTAAAATTTTTAAAGCTGAAAAATTGCTGAAAAAAAATCTCACCTATTATGTGGTGCTTTTCCTGTAGGAAAAGTTTTTCTACAGCTTAGAACAAATATAAAGTAATTCAGGTCACTCCTGAACCATTTCTAACGATCATCACCAGAACATTCTCATCAACGGGGATAGCAAAACTCAGTAAACAGATGAAAACTATATTTGTGACAGAAATTATTTAATTTTCATTTAACATAAAATGATTTTTTTTTCCAGCGCAAGTTGCAGCTGATGTATCAGGGAGTAAGACTGATAAGGATATGCCTCAGGTTGGTAAAAATTTTTTATTCTTTCGATTCAAATTCATCCTAATAAATTAAAAACTATAAAATTTGCATGTAAAAGTTGCATTTCGTCGAGATTATCAATTCAAGCATAAATTTGAGCACAACATTTGTTATGACAGTAATACTACAAGGGCCAGAAATACAAAATACTAAATTTAATAAAACTGTACAAATAATAATCCATTATAAATAATAATAACAACGAAATATAAACTAACTAGACAAATAAGAATTAATTAAAATATGTGATGAGATTAAGAATTAAAAAATATTGTTCAGAATTTTTTTGGAATTGAGCCTTTTTAGGAGTTGCAAAGTACAGCGATAAGTGATATTACCTCTGAGGCGAAAGGTATTGGAACATTATCCAATCTTCATTCGATCCTCATTTTCTTATCCCTGAAAAACTTGATAACATCATTTTAATTAAACATTAATTGTAAGAGAAGAAATCGACAACTGATAACAATAACAGTAATAATAATAATAATAATAATAACAATATCATTGAAAGCTAAATGTAAACTAACAACTTCAAATAAAAATTTTTCTTTCCAATTAAAAAATGCTATATTTTAACAGCATTAGACGTATGTGATTCATCGTATAATTTTTGCTTATTGCTTAACTTTCCTGTATTTTAATATGTAAAAATAGAAAAGCTTCAGAAAAAAAAGCTATGGGGTTTCAGAAGGCATCAAGTGTGATTTGTTGAATGCTTCAGAAGAAATAAAATGTAAAACTTGGTACCTTCTAAAACTTCTAATATAGTGTGTCATGTGTTTATTTTGTTAATTCTTCAAAAAAAAAAAAAAAAATCAGATACACTAAAAGTTTCAAGAATCATAGCATGTATTATAAGTTTCAGAATTCTCTCAGATATAAATTTAATCATTTTAAAATCGAATAATTTTACTGCTAAACAAATTGCCAATCAAATGTGAAAAGTAATAAATAATATAAGTGAGGAGTGTGATAAAAGTAATACGGATCATTACAAATATACTCTTCTTTTTCATCTTTTTCCTTACAAAATTAAAAATGGTATTATATACAAACATAATATACGTGACATCATATTACGCGTTACGTACGCATTTTTTACGATTGCAAACATAAATATATAAAATGTAAAGGCCGCATTTTCGTCAAAATTCCTTCAAATTCTCAACATTATAATGATACGTTCATTTACTAATTAAAAATATTACATCCATTTACTAATTAAATGATGATAACGTATATATACATATATATATATGTATCCTCATAAAGGTCAAGGGTTAACATTGGGATGTCAACCTGATGTCATCGTAGCAACCAAAAACGATAATTTGTATTACAGTACCGAGAATTGGCTCGATGCCAAGATGCCGGTATGATGACAACATTTATGGTATTGACATTTGAGGTTGAGATAAGACGTCTTCCTACACGAGTCATATAATGTCGTTGTAATTTTTGCACGATAAAAATTTAATTTCATACTTAAAATATGAAAATTCTAACGAAAATTCTCATCAAGTTGTGAAAAAAGGAGACAAAAACTTTGATTGAGATAGAAAAACGATGATTCATTCTAATTTATTATTTGGATGGTTTTAGCTTAGTTGTTGGATGTCAAGATTCCTAGCTTAGTTGTTGGATGTCAAGATTAATAGCTAGCTAACTAATTGAGGCTAACTAATTCATTAATAGTTAGCCATTAGTACACTCTATTCACTTTGTGTTTTTTTTTCTTGTTTTTGGAATATTCACCAGTAATGAGTGAGATGTTAGCTGATATTACCGGATTTACGGAATCGTTTACCGTTTACCTCTCCATCATGCTATTTCATTTAAGCTAACCTGATATTTAGATAGCTATTTACGCTATTTCTATCGTTCTTCGTAATTTCTTTTGCAACATTTACTGTTTTCTTCTTCAAGAATAATGAATTGGTATTGGCTTCTGATATTACCGGCTGTATTAGTAAATTGCTACGAACTGTTGTGTGAAAAAAATTTTGATAAAAAAGCAAAGACTGATCCACTTCCAAGAGCTTTAGGTTTGAAAGGTAACTATAAGGTAGGTTTATTTTATACATAGCAATATATTAATCTTTTCTTTTAAATTTATTCGTTTGGTTTAGTCTTTTAACGTTTGAAATCTGATAATTTATTGGATTCTTGAAAACAGATTCAAGAACACTTTAGTAGATTTCGACCACGGTAGATTGATAGTGATATGTAGTGATATTTTTTAGCATTATACTGATCAATTTTGTATAAAGTTATTGTAGATAGTGGTTCGTCGCACTAATTGGAATACGAATGTAACAAGTTTGATCACTGAAACTCGTACAACAAACCAAACTCGTATTACAATCACATCGCGCGTTAGTAATACAACACATTTCATCCTAGGAAGCCGCAACTACACCTATAATGGTAAAAATAGTTCTTTAAAAGACTTTTTAAAGGGATTTTATTGATTTTCTTATCTTCATCTTTATTTTTCATTGAACTTGATGTTTGGTTACTTAAGAACCAAATCCATGAGATTAATAAAAAAATGAAAATATTCGAAAAGGCTGACGTGCGCAGAGCTCTGGACATATATATAACAGTATGCTTATTTGATATTTAAAAAAGAAGCATATGAATTATAAAGTATGTTCAATTCATTCTGTTTGATTGTCCTTTTGTTCATGTGTCAAGTTTTTCTTTGTTTTCAATTTTCAGGCACTTCTTGTTCGGCTTTGCCAGATACAGCGGCACTGCCAGCAGTATATTTGCAGCCGTCACTTGCGGACATTTACAATTTTACTGGCACATCAATGGCTGAATTGATCGAATTGCTCTTTGACTACAATTTTAACGAAGGTCGTTTACAAAATAAAACAGAAGTTGGTGGAATTGATGCAATTTTGTGGCTGGCTTGTGGTAAAAGAAAGGGTATGATAATTCAGGTATTGCAAATTAGAATCTTCACTTAATTTCAGTTCAAATTTTTGGAAATATAATCAATCTTTCATACTGTAGCGATTTATTGGCACAATACCTGCGTATATTTTTCAAGCAGTTTGGTTTTAATTGCGTTACAGCTTAAACGAAGAAATTTTGAAAAGACCTCTTATATATGTATGCATTTTAGTCAGAAGTAGCATACGCAGGTCAACATTCCCAGCAGTCATATTCATCAACTGTCAACAACCCATATATTTTGTCTTTGCGATTTTCTGTGTTTAATGGTATGTTTTTGTTCTTTACGCTTAAAAAAACAATGAAATTCTTTTGATTAAAAAAATTTTCTGCTAATTTTACATCTTCCTTGTAAAACACGTGCTTATTGATTCAGACAGTTTTATTCCAGATACCGATAAGACATTAACTGATTATGATTCGGTTGAAATTACACAGCTTGAAATGTTAACTAATGATTCACAGTTGGAGACAGAAGTAAGCAGTTTGGTTACCTTTTTTAGAATTCTTTTTATGTTCTTTATGCTTCTCAGATTAATTAGTGACTTTTTCCATTTACTGGCAAGTAATAGATCTCTCTTTTACATATAGTTTTCGGCTTTTGTAAATATTAACAATCTTTTTTGATCTATCCGTAATTGATGTGAATCTTTCTCAGCTGCCCGAAGGATTGTACTGCAGTGGTTTTCCGGAAGCGAAAACACCGGTCATGTTTCCAAAGAAATTCGAAATGTCCTTTGATTATACCGATGTTGACGGCAAAGTTGTTCACGACATGGATGTAAGTTACAATCAACTTCATTCCACTTGTTGTCTTTAAACTCCTCAAAAATTTTGAAGGATTATGAGAAAAAATTTTTTTTTCAGCTGACTAAAGTTCCTATGACAAATTCCAATAATATAAAAAAATTGGACTTTTAAATTGTACGTCAGCTTCCCGATTTTTTTTTTGATTTCATAAAGAGATATTTTTTCCACAATTCAGTATTTGTTCAGATGTACTACAACGGCAATGAGCGCATATTTTGGATGCGTTCAAATATTCGAGCAGGGAAAGATACTCCTTTCGTGGGAAACGCAACAATTCCCGAAGGAATGACGAGCATTCATGTTATTCATGATTTTCAGTACGGTGAGTTAGTTAAGAAAATTTCCGAACATTTTTTTGGAGCAAATGAAATTCGAAAGTTAAGTGGAAATTAATTAGAGACTAAACTTTTTAGAAATCTAAAAGACGCAAACTGCTTGTCAGTAATTGGTTGTTAATCAGAATGTTCAGTTACCTAATTTTCTATATTACCTGGACAGATTAGTAATTTAAAGCAGAAATTTAAAGAAAGCCATGCAGTCACTTAGTGTTTTGTGCCTCCTTGTAGTCAAATGCAATGGATGACTATTTGTGAATAAATTAAATAAGTCAACACAATTGGAGAAATATATTAATGAAAAGTGACTTGCAGGGCTTCAGTATTTGCTGGATGGAGAGAATAATATTTGTAGCTCTGTATCGGCGATCGATGAAAATTTTGGTGATATTCAGATGATGAATGCATCAACGAAAGAAATTGAATTAAAAAGACCATCGAATTTGTTCTTGAGTTCTAGTGATTCGGCATTTTATTATGCAGGAAAGGTGAAGATTTTGTATGCCATTATACAGAGTAAAATAACATAAAATGTTTGGCTTTTCAGTTTCACTTTAAATTTACGAATTTTTTAGCGAATAGTAAATGACATACCATTGGATGTGTATGTTACGAAAGTCAATAGTTCACCTACAATTTCAACAGTTATTGAAATGCTTTATACTACGGAAAATTGGGTTGTGGAAACAGCTGTGGCACCTTTTCTTCATTCAATAATTCACTACCATAAGGTAATTCAGAAATTAAAATTTGAATAAGAATTATTATTTAAAAATAATTTTTACTCGAATTATTAGTTGGATATATAATTGTTAATAAATTTTGAATAATTGTGTCATGTCATCGTTAAAAATATTCGTCAATAACTTTTGATGCGTGTTCATTTTTTTAGGATGAATCGGGCAAGAAAACAAAGACGATAATTCGCCTTCATTCGTTCAAAAACGATTCAGAAGCGGGAGTTCAGCAAACTTCACATTCCATCTATCCGTGTCTTAAACTTGTTGAAGACAGTTATCTGTATATCAGTATCAAGAATAGTAAGCAATTTTAAAATGTGCAAAATGTTTTTTATATTGGAATTGAACGCATTACTTGCATCTATTTCTACATCTAGATCATTGCTTATGTCTATTGGTAATTCTTTTAAGCGACACTGAAAGATTTGGAAAGTTTTGGGATTGGACTAGTTCGAGAAGGTTTACGTGAAGCTGTGGCGCACGTTGCTAATGTTTCTGTGCTTCGAATTGCCAATTTCTTCGTTAGCTATTTTTCTTTTTTGAATTTATTCTAATTATTTTAATTCATCGAAAACCTTCCAAATTTCAAACCTTGACATCTGATTGAGGCAATTTTTTTCTTGATAAAGCTTTTTAGATAACTAGCATAAAGCAGCAAGATTCATTGTTTTTAATGCTTGTTAAAAGTATTTAGAAAATTGCATTTCAGTTTAAGCAAATTCAAGATAACGTTGTAGCATTCTTCATCATTGGTGAGGCATCAGGTGCTAAACCTGCAAATACAAGTAATAGATCTGTAAGTTTTTACATATTTGTGATCTTTTTACTAGTTTGGTTTACTATTTATTGTAATAATGCTTATATTTAGCTTAATATTTTTCATATGCAAATGTAAACACTGGTAGCAAAAGTGACTGATTGATTTCACTCCGTCCGGCAACTTTGCTTCAAATTAGGTTCCCTAACCCATCTTAATCTCCATCATTTTTCGTAAGTTTCCATGGTGAATTTTTGTTTACATTAAGTTGCGTTTTGAAACTTTCATTATTTCAGAATGAAATAAGTGTTGAATCAGCCGTTAACTTATTGAATGCGACACTGAGGGAAAAGGATATAAAATTCCCTATTCTCGTTGGTCATCGCATGGTGGTAAAGATTTCCGTTTTTCCTGTATAATTATAGTAATGTTCTTTTATACTAAATTCTATATAAGGAAAAGTTGCGTAACGGTCTAGGAATTTTATGCTCTTGAACTTTCAGTATAATACTTTGTTAATTTTTAATCCATAAATCTTTTTTTGAGAAGTTACATTGTTTATTTAACTAACGATCCGATCATAAAATAATATCGGTCAGACCAAATGAATTTATTGACTAGTTGCTAACTAAAAAGTTTTCCATGCCATTTTTTTTTCGAATATTGTTTTTTTTTCAGATGCTCAGTCTTTCAAAAGCAAGTCTGGGTACCATCCCAACAACCTGGGGAACATTGCCAGCATCTACATTTCATGGTTATACAGGTGGTTCGATGTTTGTTCTTGGTTTCTTCATGCTTTTGCTTGGTGCAGCACTTAGTATTGGCATTGTATACTTTATTTGGAAGCGACAACGTTTCACTGGTCTTGCTTACCAAGTATTTGAGTAACAAGTTCATCTAATTTGTTCAGTTGATGTTTTTCTTTCCTTGCTCAATGTTTCTTTTCCAAGAAAAAAATTTGTCAAAATTTTTAAACTTCGAAAATTGCCGATAATAAGCACACTTTTTTTCACTTTATTTGATAAAAGTGGATTTGGCACTTTCTAGATTTCGTCATTCTTCAAAACTTTATTCTTCTGCTTACCTAGCATTTGCACGGTTTCAGTAATATTCGAAAATTTCCTCTGCTTTTGTTTTTGCACTTCAGAAATTCATTTAAATCATGCAAGCTTTAAAGCTGTCATTTCCACTCTTCACTGTATATCATTCATGTAAATCAAACTAGCATGTCAGAGATATCATTTTCTCGCCTTCTCTTTTTGAATTTCAATCCCGGGTACAGCGTGGTTTTTATAGTTCTAAAATCTGTTAAATAAAATGTTCACAAGCAGGTTGTCTTAATTGTTTGTATTTTTCAGTTTTATCACTGAAAAATCCTATAATTTTTTATTTTTAAATAAACTTTTTTTCCAGGGTATTTCGCCTATTTATTTTTATATATCACACCCATCGCTTTTGCACAATACTGAAAAAGACATTAGTAAAAATTGCAAAATTTATTCTTTAACGAAATTCAAATCATATAAAATAAGCATCTATAAAGTTATGCAAAGATGAATCAAAAAACGTACCACATTTAGCGTAAATAGCATTTGTGCTAAAATTATATGTATCTTGTCGAGGGATATGGGATCAATGATATGTTCTCTCATGCAATATCCCTCTAATTTTGTTCATCTTTGTCAGCATTTGAATTTTTTTTGGCTGCATTAACACTTATCAATAATTATTATTCATTCCATGCAATGTTATGTTAATATTTCGTTACTGCTGAACAAATTATATCGACATTGGTATTCTAGTTGATATTTATTTCTTGCCTTTTTCGGAGTTTAATTTTTATCAGTTTCTTCAATCTGAAAATATTAGCAATTAAATTGAAGAATTTTTGAAATTCAAGTACTCTTATGGATCAAGATTGATCTAAATTGCTCTGCACTTCTTGCAATTTGACGGAATTGGGAAGTAAGAATTACCTTACTTCTAAATTTTGTTAAGTATGTATATATACTTCTAAATTTTGTTAAGTATATATAATTTCCAAGTTATGTTCATATTGCTTCTTGACCGATGGTTTCTTTTATTAAAAACAATGCAAGGCAATCCTCTACTGATTGTTTTGAATCAATCTTCATTCAACTTTTAGATTGTTTATGGTTTCTAATGAAATATTTCAATGTTAATATCATCAATGTTAACATACAGGGGTGTTTTTATCATTAATTATTAATAAACATTATCTGTCTACCTTGGTCAATTCGAAATAGGTACATAACCGATACTGAAGAATTGAAAAATATGTGTGGATCGATGAATTTCATTAATTAAGATCTGGACTATTAATCGAAAAATACTGTGATTTTAGATCACTCTGTAAATATGGCTTCGAAAGCAATTAAATCAGCACGTGAACGTGCTTTATACTACGTACAGAATGCAAGCCGTTTGCAGAAACAAGACCTTCGGGATAATCCTGGTGCTAGAACTCAGGTATGAGATTTGTTTTGGTTCAAAGTTACTACATTAAGAGGATTAATAATTATTTTTTGGATTTTTTTTTTTTTTGAAAGAAGTTTTTTTTTTCGTTTTCTTTGCAAGATTAAATTTCAACTTTTTTATTGCAAGTTTCGATTAAGAAGTGGTGGTGTTAATTTTTTGCACTTGGAAAGAAATTGGTATAGTTTACAGGTCGAATACTTTATACTGGATGGTAGAGATACGAGGTGTTACAAAATTGTAACCGTTTGTAAACTAATTTTAGTTCAAGAATGTTTACTTCTGAATTACAGTTTGGGTGAACTCGATGATTATCAGTGAATTTTAATGTTTCTTAGAAATGATCAGCCTATGGTAGATTTATTTCAGCCTCGTCAAATAAGATCTTCCTTGCACAATCAAGCAGGACATACTATCGGTGAACTACAGCATGCTGCGAAACCTCCACTTGGATGGATTTGGGGTAATTTTTATCAGCCATGGCAAAGGCTTTTCCCGGGTGAAGAACATTTTAACGGTGATATTAAGTATGTCGTTCCGTAACTTCTTTACTTTCAATTGATTTTTTTATCGAAATCATCTTGTGCTCTTATCATCTTGGAGTTTCACACATTCTTCTGTCTCACTAAACGCTTGATTGAAAATAACTCTTGGCATAAGTTAAATCTTCGAGAGATATATTTTCATGATGAATTCAAGCTAATCTTTTTGGATATTTTTCTCTGCTTTTGGTTTCCCGTTTAAGTCTTCGTTATTTATTCTCCTCCTTTCTATTTTTTATTCCCATTTTCTATTTTTCTTTTTTTCATTATGCGAAAAATGCAGTCTTTCTGTTTTGAAAAGAATTTTGCTAGATTTTAATACCATTTTTAGCTTACGGCGCGAGTACCCACCGTTATCATTGATTGAGCTGCAACGATTAATTGATTTGGGTTGGTTAGATACTTCATCGCTGATCGATATTACTGCTCTATGTAATACTCGAAAATACCACTGCAAACCTTCATTAAGACAGTTCGGAGTACAGCTCACAGATCAGGTAGTGATAGTCCGTTTTTGCATCCTTGATAGTTAAATTTTATATTCCGTTTGAAGTCGTTCCTTTTCAGGAATAATAGGAAACTATTGATTGGTTTTCGATTTTCGAACAAGTCTGAATGATTTGGTATTAGGCTATGAACTTGAATTATGATATTCGTTTTGAATAATTCAATTATCATATATCGAAATTGTTCCCGTATTTTAATTGGGATCGCCAAAATCGATATTCCAGTCTTCAAAAGGAATGCCTGGGGTTTTTCAGGGTGCTGACTGTTTTGCTGCTGCTGTGAATCTGGAAGTACAATGGGCGTCAGAAACTGCAATTGCAGCTGTGGAAAAGGCCGGCGGTAGAATTAGAATTGCATATTACGATGCGGCAGCTTTAGAAGCAGCTATTGACCCGGAAAACTGGTTCTTATCAGGTACAAAAGACCACTCGATTATTGTTGAGAATCCAAATTCCTAGCTCCTGTTCTTGCTGATAGTTTCAAATTCCAATCTTTATTTCAACTGTTCATTTCACTTTGATTTTAAATTATTTCCCTTAATTAAAAACTTATTAATCTACTTTAACTATGTCGTTAGATTACAACATTAGAGGGGTCTGTCAGATTTGTCTTATCAAGTTTTCTTTCATCACAGTTATTTATAGGGAAGCCTATTCCACGACGCAAAGCTCCGCCTGAAAGTCTTCTTTCACTTTACATCGACCCTCGGCGTCGCGGCTACTTAGCTAATCCAGAAGATCTAATCAAAGCTGAAGAGGACTTGGCTCAAATTATGGGATACGAAAGGAAACCTGTCCAGCAACAATGGGAAGAAAAGAGGCCTGATCAGCTGTTTCTCGGAATTCCATCTGGTTCAATAGTTAGTCTAAAAGATAAAAAATGTTTTGCACCAGTGCATCCTGTTCTCCAAAAGTATTATGGAATTAATAGTAGTTCAGGAGAAAGTTTTGTTGCTGATCATTCTTATGCTACTACTTTTTCATCAACATCAATGCGAAAAAATGATTTAATATATTCATGATTTGATAAAATTATAAATATGATTTCCGAATGTTACATATGGATTGCAATAAAATCACGAAAGAATACAACCAGTATATGCTTAAACATTTCATAACGCATTGCTCATTGATTGATTTTGGACCTAATTCAAAAACTTTTTTGATGTTAGTAAGACTAAAAGTCTCTATGTTTTAAGTGTTAAAATTTATTGTATCCGTCCTCTTTGATTTCTAAATCAAAAAAACATTGAAATAATTTCTCCCATTCAATTTCTATTAGATTGGCTTGGAATTACCATGAGAACCACATCATCTCGAAGAGTTCTTATAATTTCCAAATGTTTGAGATTCGAATAAGTGTGCAATATCTAAAGTTTTCATATAACAAAATATAAAGATCAATTGTAAATATTAGAAAAGTGGTAACAAAAGCAGAAAAAAATATTAACAGTAAAAGAATTTTCCTCTCCATTACTGAGCAGTAATGATACCTCCTGTTTCGGAAGCCATTCCTTTTTCCTGCAATATTTCAAAATTAGCGGGAAGTAATAACAGAAGCATAAGCAAATATTATTTGGTAATTACCGTTGATAATAAAGGACTATTAGGGAAAGTTTTTTTTTACCTCTAAAAGGTAAAATGTTACAGTGTCATTGACAAGAGAAATAACAATTCTCAACTTCCAGAGGTTTTGTATTTTTCTACTATTTAAACGATATATATTTTGTCCAAAAGATTACCTCTTTGAAGCGTAGCGATAAGATTTTCATGATTTCTGCATGCTTCACCCCAGGTTTTCGTTCTTTTTTATAGTTCTCCTTAACAAACTGTGCAAATATGTTGGTTGAGCGTGTCGAGAACTTCTTCCCATCACGTGATCTTAGGATGAAATGTCCCTGACAAATGCCGCAAATTTTACGAACAATATCAAGCGATTTCGAATGGCGTTTAATTCTGAAATTTAAGCAAATGTTAAAAGCTATCGAACCAATAGAATTTTTTAAAAAGAACAGAATTTAGAATAAATTAGTATATGTGCTGAATTTATGAGATATTCTCGTTACTTCTGCATCAGATTTTTCCAAGCTAAACTTTAAAATATCCAATTTCAATCTCTGCAAAAGTATTACAAGCAGGACTAACGTTTGTCCACAACGATCACAAATGTATAAATATTTGGCATCAACTGTGTAATTGTGACATCGTCCAATAAGTGGTAAAGATGGGAAGACTTTTCGAGATTGATATACCCTGAAAACTGTGAGAACTAATTCTGAAATAAAATTGACATGGAATATTTGAATTAAATAGGAACGGATTTAGTCCAAAAAATTTCACAAATTGCTTACACCGCTCCAATGTTTCCATCAACTATTTGCATAAAATTGGCATATTTAGCAATCTTTTTCTAAATATATGCTTACTTTTTTGTAAACTGTTATTTCATCCCTGTTTTCAATGATATAAATCACATTTTATTAAGAAATTTTTATCAACTTGAAATTTAAAATTCGCAATTCATATCCTACAATAAGTTTTAAGCTGCGAATATATGTAACACGTTTAGCATGTGATAGTGTCTTCTTCAATTTCACTTCAATATTGTCAAAAATGTAGAATTGGAAAATCGAATATCAAGCTAAATCATTTTATGGAATAGCTATGTTGTTAGCAGTTTAAAGCAATAAGAATAAGATGAAATATTATTTGCTCATTAAATTACCAGTATTTCCATGCTGATCCATGTCCACCCTTTTGGATACGATCGATAACCCAAACTGCAGCATGACACATTTCATGTAACAATGTATCGCGCAGCCGTTCTACAATCAATTTTACTTCAGTTGCATATTTCTTTAAAATATGCTTAATAAACTAGTCTCCTTGTTTCTCCCCATAGAATGTAATCCATTGTTTACTTATCCATAATCAGTATCCTATATTCTCTTCACTGTTCTTCAGCTTTAAATTGAAAAAAAAAAATCGAATATACGTTTACTGATGTGAGAAAATAAAAATGTCAATTCATATGCTTCAGAATTAATTGCTATAAAATCATAAGATTAAGTAATATGAAACATAATATCACTTCATATGTGCGATTAAAATTTTGATAGGCTTTGAATAGAAGATGACTCACCTGGAGTATCACAAACTTTACTGGAAAGCTCGATGTCTACTGTGCCGTTTGATTTGCAACGACAACGACCAGCCGTTAGCCGTAAACGTGAATTCCATTCCAGCACCATATTTGGATCCAACTGAAATTTCTTAATTTAGAAAATGTAGAAGTCATCTTACTTTAAATTTAGTTTAAATGAAATTGAAAATTAAAAATTTTTGCTCTTAAAAATTCACACTGCAACAAACATTTCAAATTTATCAAAAAAAACACACACACACATTACTCAAATTTTTTCAAAAACACACCTTATTTTCGAAGCAACGTCTTCTGTACAAATCGAATAGTCTCGCCGCTAATTTTTCTCTAACTCGTGAAAATTTAACTGTAGTGTATCGTTGAGCATCCCAGTGTACAGGTCCATTTGGTGAAAGAGCCAAAAGGAAAATTTCATCGTCATCTTGGCTCTGTAATCATTTATATAACTCTTCATTTCATTGTTTCTTTTTCCACAGCTCGCTCAACATCCCTCATTATATTCTAAATTAAATCATTGCGGACAAAAAAAAAAGGATAAATTCACCGCTCTCTGAATGTTTGGTGCATTTTGTAATGATAAATGCAAGTTAGCACGTCCCCGTTGCTTCATTTTTTCTGAAAAATGTAGAAAATATCACTGAAAAGTTAAAACATTTTGAGATGAATCCTCCGATAGTTGTGACTGATAACGGAAGTTTGTTCAGAAATCAATAAATATCATGCTATTTCTATCTCCTAAAGAGATAGAAAAATTTTTAAAATTCTAGGAAATATTACTTTCTTTCGTCGGATGATGCCAATGCGTTCCATGCTCACTGCTAACATTTTTTGGAGTGTGATGATGTGGAATTTTTTCACCTCCGATATTCCTCAATACTTTATCAATCAGCTGCGCATCACCGAAATTGTCACTTGAGTTAAATTCATATTCTGAGCTATATTCAACAGTGCATTCACTATCAGACATGATAAACCTGGAATAATAAGTATCTGAATTTAGACTAATATTTTATCCACTTGAAAGGTTATGCTAATAACTGCATTGAAAATTATCATTCCCTCTCAGCTATAGTGATTTTGACCATTGTAGATTAGCATTTGATAAAAAGTGATACACTCTGAGATGTCTGTAAATCTCACGTCACATATCAATACATCACTACATTGCATGCTCCCGAGTACAAAGACATCATTTTTTAAAATATTCACATCATAAACAAGAGAACTAGCAATAAAAAAATTACAATTACAATTTTTTGGAAATAAAATTATTAAATTCGATTACAATCAGTATGATTGAGAAAAAAAAAAACAAAAATGATGAAATTATACAGTCAAGAAAGACTTACCCATCTAAATTGTGTGATCTGTTTATTTTTGTAACAGATGATTGAGCTTTAATTTCTTCCAAGTCTGGAAAAATAAAATTTGATGAAATTTCATCTCAAACACAAATAAAACACTACATTTGGATCATTCTTACCAGTAGGTTACAAACGAGAAGCTGCAATCATTGCAGTAGTACAAATGACATTACACACACTGACTACCGATTAATCGATATGCAAATTTTTTCGGAAATTTGTAGGTTGCGCAAAGTTTCAATGGAAAGTATTATAGAAGGTATACTTTAATGTACATTTTTCAAATTTCTCATCACTATCCTCATCGAATTTGGTAAATTCACTGCGTATTTCGATACTATCATTGCTCAATGACTTTCTGAAAATATTCAAGAAACTATAAAAATATATTTACCATTTTCGACCAGTTCATTGACTGTTTGTCTTAAGTTATTAAGTTTTACTCTAGTTCATAAGTTCTTAGTTATTCTCTTTTTCATACATCAATTATATTTATTAAACTGTTCTTTCCAATCAAAATATTTAGCAATCTACCCGATATAACTCGATCGTGTTACCTGTACAGTTTAACTGTTCTTGAATTTTTAGACTGGACTATTTTCAATGCTCAATTCCTTTCAGAGATTCAGAGCATTTTATTGGTTCAAAAAAATTTGTGATTATAAATTATTGCAAAATTTACTCCGTAGGAATCACATTCTCCCTCAATTCGGGGTATAACTCAAATAATGTTGATATTTTTTCGTTATCAATGCTTATATCAGAAAGATCATTTCTAAAAAATGACGAAATTTCCGCAGTTCTCTGTAAAAAAAAAGCATTATTAATAACAAAAAATAATAATTTTGAAAGTATTTCAAATGTGGTACTTAAACTAGCAAAAATAAATATTATCTCGGCAAAAAAAAATTCAATCATTTTTTAAAATTCTAAACAACTATGTCTGTTTTCTTTTGTACCATTTCTTGCTGCTGTCGATTATGGGTGCTCTCGTTCTTTCTGAAAGATTGCTCATCGCTTGATGTATTTGAAAAATTCTCTGGAAAAAAATTATCACATATTTCTAAATTTCAGCGTCATAATTATTGTTAGGCTTAATTTAGGCATTAGTATAACAAAAATTAAATGTGAAAATAAAACCTTCAGAAGTGTAATCCTTAATGAGAAAGCTATCTTCCAGATAAGTATCCTCATCGATGCTTGTTGCTTCATCATCCGAACGATCAACTCGATGTCCGTAATTGTTACGTCTTTTTGTAAAACTCAACGTTTCCAACAGTCGGCTTACGTTTCTGTCAGTTGACTTTTTTTATCTTTCCTTCTTTTCAAATTTTAGCTTTGAATTAATGAACTTGCTTAGTTTTGAAATATTCAAAATAAAATACTGAAATATTTCCATAAAAATAATATCTTCTTTTTATTACAATAAACTTACTCGATATTGCTGTCGCTATCTTCATCACTTTCGTTGATATTATTTTCTGTCTTATCAACATCTTTATCACTATCACCATCATTATCATCACCATCATCACTTGATGAATCATCAATAACAATTCGTCGATATTGCGACATCTTATGATTTATCTTCAACACGTTAATATTTTCACATCCTTATCATCAGTTATCACCATCCTATCTAAGCTCAATTTAGACATTAGCATGCAAAAAATTAAATTGGGAAGCTTATATTTAGCACATAGATATACTATAGATAAGATAAAAGCAACGTAAAATATTATCAAAAGATATATTATCATATTGATATCATTATCACCAACGATCAATACTTACAACACTTATACGATAATCATTTCTATATCATTCAATTTTCCTCAGCAATGTTACATCTATCGTATTCGTCATATCACTTATCACCTACCTATCACTTATCAACTACCATACTATTCCATTCTAACCAACAATTCCCAATTCTCATCCCTTCTCTGTTCATTCTTTTTTTTTTTTAAATTTATTCTTCCCGCCTTGCTTACCGTAACGAAAACGCGACAGCGTATAAAAGCATTTCTCTATCATTCTTTTTATTAAACGATGACCTTTATCACCGTTTTGTTCCATTCTTTAAAGGTCAACAACGTTTGATCATATAAATTTAGAAATTAAATATCATCTGATATTTTGAAACTTAAAAAAAAGTTGAATTAATTTGATGGAAAAAAAGAATGGAATTTTCAGTGTTAATCAAAAAAAAAAAAAATAAATTATTAAACTTTTCCAGATTATAAAGAAATATTGCTGCAAAAAGTAACGAATTTCTTTAATTTTTTAAAGTTATAACTGAACGGTAATCAATATCAGACAAAACTTATAACTGATTTGTGTTTATCAAAGAAAAAACAGTTATTCTCGAGAGCAATGCGTTGTTTTATGTCAGAAATGATCTCAAAATGAAGAATGATGTGGATTAATGATATTAAACGATAATTATTATCATTAAAACAAAAATTCTTTTTATTAAACGATGATCTTTATCACCGTTTTACGAGATTAGGTGGTATGTTCGAGACATATCGAGAAAAAATGATCGTTTCATATTGATGAAAATCAAAATGGCTTTTCTATTAAAGAAAAAATAAATTGTTCAGAATTTGATTCAAGAAAAAAATCAAAATTACCAAATTTTTATAGAAAGCATAAATTTTATGAAGCAAAATTAATTC